CACAACATAACGAAAATATAGCGTAAGTATCCACAACAACTTTTCTCCAAGTGATCTGAGTAACATTGACCTAGTGTTAAGCATAACTCAGTTATGCCCCTTATCTTTATACGTGTATGACCTCTGTCGTCAGTTGACGTCATAGAAGAAAATCCATTTTGACACTTATTGCGAGGTTTTTTTTATGTTGAGCGTCTAACGTTATGCATTAGCACATAAACCCAATTCATATACACTTATGTCGTTCAGATATCAGGCTGTATTTTCTTCGCTTACACTTTCTGTAAAGATGCCAAATTTAAAAATCGTAGCAGAGTGCTTTTATCGGTGCACGACAAAAAGCGGAGAAATTGACAGTTTCTTAACGCGTAACAAAATTTTAGACAACATTTAGCAGTGTCTATTTCTCAAACCGCCGAGGTAGTCGCACTTATATTTATACCAACGGATATGAAATTAAATATTCTACATTTCTGTGTAATTTTATAGCCGTACGCAGATCCAGGACCACGCGAGCGCAATTTTCGCACAACGTTCACTTTTAAAAACTTTTGAAAATGTACGCCTGATAAAAACCTCGGCATCCAGTGCCGCCATTACAAGGCTACGCCTGGCTTACGCCTGCTGGGTAGGTGGCGTAAATATAGAGCGCTACGACTGGCGTAACTTTAACTACGTCTACTATGTGCATACCGGTTAACGTTACGTCCGAGCGCACATTTTACTTACGCCCGGACTAGAATTTACGCCCGACATATGCATACGGCCACTGTAAGTGAGCCTACGAGTTTAACGCTACTTTGATCATTATTCCAGTTATCATAATCGCGCGTCAGCTTAGCCTGGGAGGCAAGCCGGAAGTAATGCAGACTGTCTCAAGTACACTTGGCAACAAACATTGCTTCCTGTTGGCAGCCAGCATTGTTTCTTCACACACTGTTGGCAGCAAGCATTGTTTCAGGTACTGTTGGCAGCAAGCATTGTTTCCTAACGCACTGATGGCAACAAGCATTGTTTCAGGTACCTGTTGGCAGCAAGCATTGTTTCAGGTTTGGCAGCAAGGTAGCATTGTTTCAGGTACTGTTGGCAGCAAGCATTGTTTCTCACACACTGTTGGCAGCAAGCATTGTTTCAGGTACATTGTTTTAACACACTGAGCAAGCATTGTTTCAGGTACTGTTCAAGCATTGTTTCAGGTACTGATGGCAACAAGCATTGTTTCAGGTACTGTTGGCAGCAAGCATTGTTTCCTCACACACTGTTTGCAGCAACATTGTTGGCAGCAAGCATTGTTTCAGGTACTGTTGGCAGCAAGCATTGTTTCAGCAGCACTGTTGGCATTGCAAGCATTGTTTTTCACACACTGTTGGCAGCAAGCATTGTTTCAGGTACTGTTGGCAGCAAGTACTGTTGGCAGCAAGCATTGTTTCCTCACACACTGTTTGCAGCAAGCATTGTTTCAGGTACTGTTGGCAACAAGCATTGTTTCAGGTACTGCTGGCAGCAAGCATTGTTTCCTCACACACTGTTGGCAGCAAGCATTGTTTCAGGTACTGTTGGCAACAAGCATTGTTTCCTCACTCACTTTGGGCAACAAGCATTGTTTCCTCTGTTTAGCAACAATCAGCTGTTTCAGGTACTGTTGGCAACAAGCATTGTTTCCTCAAGTTGACTGAAGGAGGAGAGCTGATGAGCCTGTTGTCGTTATAGTTCAGGGCCTATATTTTTGAAGCTCTCTTAGCGATAAGATAGTCGTAAGTACCATACATTAACATTAACTTAAGTCATTATTTGGAACACGAATGCAGTGTCTTCAAGCTAACAAACTGTAGTATATTAACCATGATCTAATCAAAATTCAGTTGAACTTGAAAGAACAACACAACTAGTTGTTGAAGTGTAGATTTTCAATTATATTTTCAGACTTTATAGGTTTTACATATCACAGATGAGCTTGCACAACTATCCACAAAAATATCTTTTCCTGATATAAAATGCAGAGCAGTTATCAACTTTATTCAATAGTCATCTGTATTTTGTGCAAACTTAGCAAGAAACTATTTCTGTATAAAACCTAAACAACTTAGCCGAAAGTGATATAAATGCATGTTATGCAGATGTATATTTGAACTTCTTAAGTATGTTCACAATGGAGTGAAGCCAAGTCTACCATCTGGAGTCTCTATGGAGTAACACAAGAATGACCTATAAGTAGCCGTAATATTGCCAGGATTGATCAATTGATTGATTGATTGATTGTTGTTTAACGCCGCAGTCAGTAATATTCCAGCTATATGGCGGCAGTCTGTAAATAAGAGTCCAGACAATCCAGTGATTAACAGCATGAGCATCGTTCTAAGCATTCGGGATACAATAACATGTGTCAACCAAGTCTGACCACTCGATCCCGTTAGTCGCCTCTTATGACAAGCATGGGTTACTTCGCCTCTTACGACAAGCATGGGTTACTGAAGACCAATTCTAACCCAGATCTTCATGGGATCTTCAGGACAGCTTTGACTCCAAGAGTTTGAGCAATGTTCACTCACAAGTAAAAATGAATGGCACATGAGACTGCAAACAGGTAGTTATATACAAAAACAAATAGAGTCACTATTACATCTGGTAAACCATCTATCTCGTGACTTTAGTGAATTATGGTGCCCTGATGACAGAGAGGACAAGGTGTCCGAACTGGGAACCAGTGTGCCGTTGTACAAAGCGATCTTAGAGCTAAGGTGACCGTAACTCCCATACCTTAACATAGACTTAAGGTAGTCTTAGCTCTAAGGGTTTTTTGTACAACAGCTACCTGGACATTTGTGTCTTCAGTGGTTCTCATGACCGGGTACCCGATCTGGTACCCTGCATGCAGTCCATAACTGGCTGTTATCATGGAAATGAGGACTTTTAATACAAATAAAACATTCATTTTAAAAAGTAATATTATATAAACCAAAAATACAAAAAGCATAAAACTATTTTTGATTTTCAAGTGAGTAATCAAACACATTAACATTGTTACTATGGTAACAAAGAAAGTTCAACAGAATTATCTCAATAGGAACAGAAAGTCTTTACACACTCGGCCTTTGTGGGGAACTAAACTCAGATCTTAGGTGAGACAAATCTACGTTGAACAATCTTGCCCACTAAGCTACCCTGATGTCATTCATAGACTATAGCAACCCTGGATATTACTTGACGTAATACAAACTTAACCCTTTCAGTGAACATATTACAAGAGGACTTTTACGTCACCAGCAGCATAATATCACAACAAATGCTCAACAATAAATAAACATTCTCCAAATATAAACATCAGCAATGAAACAATGTATGTACACATTAAAAAATAACGGTTTGTAACAAGTACATGTTGAATATCTCATGTCCTGTCAGAGGCTAATGACAAAACATACAGAACATACAGACACACAATGTTGATACAGAACATACAAAACTCACAATGTTGATACAGAACATACAAAACTCACACATGGCGTCCATACAGACACACAATGTTGATACAGAACATACAAAACTCACACATGTTGTCCATACAGACACACAATGTTGATACAGAACATACAAAACTCACACATGACGTCCATACAGACACACAATGTTGATACAGAACATACAAAACTCACACATGATACGTCCATACAGACACACAATGCTGATACAGAACATACAAAACTCATACAGAACGTCCATACAAACTCACAATGTTGATACAGAACATACAAAACTCACACATGGCGTCCATACAGACAAAACTTCAAGAAGACATGATAAAAATATATCTTTCATCCCCCCTTCGTCAGATACAACAACAATAAACAATTAATTAAACTACTGGATACACAATTTTTAATATATAAACATATTTTGGTATTTATTGTGTTCCAAATGATCATACTTAATATTTCATAACTCTTCAAAACAAACACAGGATAAAAATTCCTTCACCAAATATATATTTAAGGGCATCAAAGTTCTTCATGCCCACAAAGCTCAACACTATCCACACTGCCAGAATGTAAATTCAGTTTTCAAAAATACATGCAATATCTTTACATCATGTCATCATTCAATCAAAATCAGAGGAAAAATACCAGTCTTATCAGGGGAGGTGTTATGTGAATGTCATAACATTTTCTCCATCATGTGGTCACTGGTTTGGCGGGATAACAGGCCAAATAGTTTGGGTTTCACTGATGCCTTTCACAAGAAAAACACTTTCTACATTTCAACACCTTGCCCGAAACCTACTCTGGCTGGTTTTTCCTCTATACTGTCACAAAACTGAACAAAATCTGATTCACAAACTGTCAGAACATGGCTGACTTACAAGTCAAGCAAATGAACACAAACTGGGGCTCCTTTCACGAAGCAACCTTAACTCCCATTCTTTAACATTACACTAAGGTTACCTTAATGACTTATGATCCTCTTAGTGCTTTATGAAAGGAGGCCCTGGATGATAGTAGGCCCTGGATGATAGTAATAAAACCACTAAGCTACACGTCATGGAACAAAATTTCGCACAAACAATTCGCTCACTGACTACAACCCATTTTTCTGATATTGCAATATATATCACTGCATGAGGTAAGCATGTCACGACACCTGCACTTCAGGGGCTGGGTGTCCCACGTACTCCTTATTCTAGCCTCAACACATGTAGTTTCTAAGGTCTCTAATTTGCAAATCCTCTGAACTGGAATGTACATTTCCACTGGCATGTGACATCATGTACAACACACATAGTTTGCAGTTCACTGCCACAATGTCCACATGATAAGTGTGAAAGTGTTTGGCAGTCATGTAATCAGAGATGAAACTCCCAATGCCTTACACAAAACATGACATACAAAACTACCAACACAGTAGTATTAAATACAGCACATGTTACAACACACTGTCAGCTGTGGTTTGATATATGCTCACAACAAAACATAAAATAAAAATTCTAAAATGTATACTTCCTTAACTCGTCTATAATTTTTCTGTATTTATCTGTTTGTGAAACAAGAACATCAACTTCCCGACAACAGTCATCATAATTATGATCATAATGTAAAGTCATGGAAACACGGCTGATGAACTGAGCAAGTTGAGAAAAACACTGTGTCATGTATCATTGGGTTGGAAAGTCTAACACAATCATGATGATGTTACAGATGTTATTATTTAAGATACGTGTAAAAATAACTTTGAAATATATTTCACAAAGAACGTCAATTGGTGTGTAGTGAGTCGAATACATTGGTATGGTTCTGCCTGTCCAAGGCAAAAACATGTTTTGAAGCAGTGCTCCAATGGATTTTGTTTCAACCTGCCCAAATGGCCTTATGTATGTTAAGTGAAAGCCATAAGCACAAGATGGTAGCGACATGACCGATACATATCCAGGAATCAAATCAATGACAAGCAGATCCTGGCATCAAAGGGATAGAACTCTTGACAAGAAAACCCTCGTCTTCCCAATGCCCAACTAATCAGAGCATATGTCAATATATCCACAGATGTTTAATGACTAGAGACTAACATGACAGATGGATGATGAACTCCCTTCTGTCTTAATACAGATATTTCAGCACAGGTTCTAACACTGTTATCAGTAAATGATCCGAGTTTGACAACATTGTTGGTGTATATTACCATGATTACTGTGATAAAAATAATTTATATCTTCTTATTACATATGACTTGACACATCACTCACTGGTATTACAAACTGAACAAGTGATCATTATATTTAATCACTGGTACACAAACACACAGATGATTACCTGACTAACACACAAGACTAGATCTCCTGAAGCATGCGTTTGTTTTTTATCCTTTGTTAACATGTTTAAAGCTGCACTCAACATTTCATCTATATGATGGCAACCTGCAAAAAAATGAATATGAACCACACAAACCAGTGATTGATGTAATGAGCCACGATCATGCCTTGTGGTATTTTGATACATCATCACTGTAGTTTGTGAGCCTGATGATCAAATGCATTAAGTTTTTTCTACAGACCAGTAAGAACAGCATCAACAATAGTCCGCCCGTTAGTTGCCTCTTACAAGCAATAGGGTGATGAGGACCACAACTCACTTTCAAGATAACAAGATATCAAATATTGTACCAACTGTCAGGCCTCCAATGTTTAGCTGGAGAAACCAAATATTGGTTCTCCAATTTCTAAAACATCAGGGAGGTGTCCTGTTATTTTCAGGTAAAACAGGATCATTCAGTTTCCCTTTTGTCCAAAAATATCATTAGCATCATATTTGTGGGAATTAAAGTCATCACACTGATCCAGCTGTGCTTGAAACAATGTCGACTGGTTACCATGGTAATCAGGTCTTTCCCATAACTATACTGTACAGGAGGCAAGCAGTACAAGAACGACAGGAGTGTAAACATACAGCTCAACTTCACATAGGGATAGTTTGTATGAGGCTCCAACAATATACATGAATATAATATGAAAATAGTGAGCAATATATCAGCATCCCAATCAAAAGTAGAGTCGTACCTTACAAGGAACACGATAGCGCTTTGTCAGTTTGGTTTGAACAAGTTGGAACTCTACACTCCCAGCACATGATTACTAAATTCCTGAATTCAAATAGTAACATCGTATTAAAAAAATATTATCATTAGGACTTGAGGATCACTAATAAATTAAATCATTCTTGGTTCAACATTGTAAACAAATTTATGGTCACAATAACAATTCTGCTACTGATCACTTCCTAATATGTACAAATACATCCACAACACTGCCCTCACGTATATCTGGTCACCATTAACCAGGATCTCTACCACTTTTACCTGAACCTTCATCAGTGTTAAGAGATGGATTGTTATGTTTGTAGTAAACTGACATTTTGATTGAACAAACATCTTGTGACCACTCTGAAAGCTCATGAAACTAGTCATACTATAAACTCATAAAATAAAACATATAAATGTTCCAAGTTACACATCAGTATTGTACAGCATGTTAGGATTTCAAATTTGAAAACTCATGAGCCTAATGTTTTTAAAATCTAAAACTGCTTTTGATACATAAGGTATGTATGTGACTTATATGGAAAATAACAGCATGGCCTGACGATATCCTGCCCTCACTAGACACACCTCTCATCAATTAATCTGTATCTTCTTCACCCTCGTCGGCAATTCAACGGCACTGACTGTCAGAGGCCACATTCCTCCGATGATTCCTGCTTGTATGGACACTCCAGTAGCCACGGCTAGTTCAGGATCAATGGCCGTGTTTGGCTGTTTTCCAAAATAGTCCCGTATCAGTTCTCTAACTTTTGGTATCCTTGTGGACCCTCCGACCAACACAATCTCATCCACATCTTCCCGAGTGAGATGCGCTGCTTGTAACACCCTGTCTATAGGTTCTAAAACTTTGTTGAATAAATCATCATTCAACTTTTCAAACAACGTCCTTGGGATAGCTTCCTTGAACACTTTGTTTCCTAGTGAGTGTAACGTAATGACGATGTTCACAGATTGTTTATAGGTTAGGTCCAACTTAGCCTGTTCTACCTGCATCCTCAGGACTTGGAGGTCCTCGCGGTCAGTCAGCTTCTGACCGTACGTCTTCTCAATGGCATCCTTCAGGAACAGCAGCAGGCGCTGATTGAAGTCCTGCCCCCCGAGCCGGTTATTCCCTGGAACAATCATGTACCATGACACGCCCAGAATGAAACATAGCAAGCAAGACTTGTACATTTTGCAGAAATCACTTAAGTCAGCAGAACAATGGAAAATCAATCATACAAGACGGGATATCAGCATGAATAATTCTGAACCCGGCACTAGTCTTGTATGTGTTGCAAGCAAATTTAACCTCTTTTGAGTCTACAGATCAGTATTTAAACAACTATTATTTAGTCAAAGATTAAGATTTCTTCTATAATGCCTTATAATAGCAATATTTCTTATGCATTTCTGGACTTAATATTTAAAGCTGAAATTCACATATTGTATACTCAGCAAATTTTCCTGATAGTTTTTTTCTACCGCAATAACGCAGGGATGGCAACAGGAAAATCTATTTTTAACTGAAATTTCATATTGTGTCATCGAATGGGGGGATCAGGGTTACTAACGGACTTAGACGATTCACAAAACTGATCAATTTGAAAAAAAAAATCTGCGTAAATCCACGGGTCCGCGGAAAATTGCAATCCCTGATAACAGCACGTAAAAACATGGACATCCCACTCTGATACCTAAACTGCTGACATGGACTCACCCACATCCCACTCTGATACCTAACATGGCTCTGATACCTAAACTGCTGACATGGACCCACCCACATCCCACTCTGATACCTAAACTGTTGACATGGACTCACCCACCACCACCAGTATGAGGAACATTAGGCCATTGTCCCAAAGCATTAATAAATGATTATAAGCCTATGTGTGGGAGTAATGATTACCTAAATACAAACTGGGCTTTGTGGAATGGTGCCCTGACTTCTCTACTACAGACTTAAACTCACCAGCCATGGCCTGCGTGAGGAACATTCCTCCCTGCACGTTGAGAAGGGACACATCCAGAGTTCCTCCTCCAAGGTCCACCACAAGTACGGTCTGAAGGTCAGACTTCTTGTGTAGACCGTAGGCCAGAGCTGCAGCTGTCGGTTCATTGATCACACGGAACACCTCCAGACCTGGTAACCAAGGTTACAGTTAGACTGACTGTGCAAGAACAAATTCTGTAACAGTCTTAATGATTGGACCACAGGGGTTGTAACAGAACACAAAAAACAAACTGATATACTGTCATAGTCACACCCTGTCTGTGGCACTATATACTTTGATGCAAATCTTAAGAGGTGACTAACAAGATCGGGTGGTCAGACTCACTGACACATACCATTGTATCATAATTGCATAGATCGATGCTAACGCTGTTGATCACTGGGTTGTCTGAAGGAAGTTAATCAAGGCGGAATGAATGGAGTCGCATATGGAGTCATTGAGTTCAAGGTTTAGGTTGAACACTATGGTGCTGGAGTCCTAGTATCAATACTTGATATAGGGGTGTCACAATACACCAATCTCACGATACGATCATGATATCGCGATACATAATTTTCGCGATACCTTTTCATAGCATAACCTTACCGCAACAGCGTCGCTTCGCTGATTGGTCCATCAAAATAGTCTAGCCAATCACAAAAGCTGTTAATTTCCAACCTATTTTTTAAGTAAAGCTAGCTACATATATTTATCGGAACGGCCTCGTATGATTTTACTATCAAGACTTTGACTGAGATGGATATAGCATAAAAATTTGAATCGATAAAGTTTTAAAATAGGAATCGATACACACAAGCATGTATCGCGTATCGTATCGTCAGTAAAAATGTATCCATGCATCGATACATTCGCGTATCGCGACACCCCTAACTTGATAGCACTTCAAGTATTTGATACCAAGAGACATTAACCTTCAAAATTCCTGCTTTACCATGAGCATGATTCATGAAGAGTATCCCAAACTATACTTAGGACAAGCACAGACTTGACAGCAGTCCTCACAGACTAGTACAAGGTGAGAGTTATACTGTTCTGGTTCTCAATCCTGCAACTTGGCTACAAAATGGAACCGAGTAAAGCTAACAGAATTTCTAGGAAACATATTCAGTTACTGAAATCGTTGTCCCTTTAGTTGTTTGAGCTAGTCTTGAAAATAATGTATTTCTGAGACTCGACAACCATTCTGAGTCAATATAAGCAACTGAGAGTTGTGACGTGGTGCTGTTCAAAAACTGGCCTCACCTGCTAATGCCGCAGCTTTGATGGTGTAGTTTCTCTGCATGGCGTCAAACTCTGCTGGGACTGACAGTATCGCTTTAGTCACAGGAGCACTGAGATTAGCTTCTGAGGCAATCCGCAGAGTATCTAGGATAATAGAGCCGACGTCTTGAGGGGTGATCTTCTTCTCTGTGCCATTCACCTCGACGACATAGTGCACCATCCCCAGCTCATCAGCCTCCAGCTGCAACAGAGGTCCCCATCAGATTATTTCTCTTGCATACCAGATGTTCCACTAAGAGATTATCTCCCTTGTATGCACCAGTTGTTAGCCTGTGCATAATCCAGTTATCTTCTTCACAGGGAGAACCTACCATCTACTTGCGTATTACCGTGTAATTAACCTTGTATTTACCTGTAGTATATTTTGTAGAATATAATCAGTTCATTTAACTTGTTGCATAAACCTGTCATCCGTCCAACTAGGCCAAATCACAAGAGTTGTATGTCATATTTTACAGTCATCAGTATTACAGTGTCACCACTGTGGTCTGGATCAAGTCAGGACCGACCAGACAAACTGGTGGTTAATATTATCAGCAACATGCAGAGTATGACGACACCTGATCAACCAAGTCACCCCACTGACCACCTGATACATTCGGTCACTTCCATCAATCATAGGTTGAAGAGGACGGATTGTAACCCACATGGAACCAATTAGTATGTTTAAAGAATGATCACGAAGATCGCATCACCTACACTTTTGGGAAGAACTCAATTATGATATCATCCATCTTGCTGCCAATAATGGGAATTAGTGATTGACGTTAACAAACATTGTCAATACTTCACAGATTTGTAGACAGTGTGTTCCTCCATCACGTGTAAATACATACAGCTTTTTGCAGTGTTCTCAGACGAACAGTTCATCAGATCACATTACCAATATTTCTCGGACAACAGACCTGTTGCCATCCAACTTAGGTAGACGTGATGCACTCACCTTGAAGGGGTATTGTTTCTGAGCCTGCTGTAGTTCCTCTTTGCGGTAGACTTTCCCGATGAACCTCTTGGCATCATACAGAGTGTTCTGGGGGTTGTGTTCTGCCTGGGCCACTGCCTTGAACCCCACAACAACACCCTCCTCACTGAAACAAATATATGCTACCACTGTCAACACGTTCATGCCTTCCTTGATATGACTGTTTGTTTGTCTGTCTGTTAGTAGTATTCAAGTTACATGACAACTGACCGTAAATAATCAAGCCTGAACCAGACAATCCAGTGATTGGCATTGTGAGCAACCATCTACACATTCAGGGTATGACGACACAGAATCAACCCTGTCTGACCACCATCACATCACCTCTAACGACCATCACATCACCTCTAACGACCATCACAGGCAGACCGATGATCTCACAGTCCCACAACCATATTATCTTCTGTTCTACCCACTAACTAGTTTAGATTTTCTTCAGGTTCCGTTTCTGAATCTCTTCCTTCATTGAGGGGCTGGGTTAGACGGCTGACTTTGTGTGCTGGCAATTAGGTGGCCGACTCTGAAGGTGTGGGTTTGATTACCTTGAATCCCGGGATGGGACTCAACCCAACAATAGTATTAGAATCTGTACTTTACTGAGGAAGTGTAATCCCAAAGATAGCATGTGTTACATTGTATGATGACTTACCTGAAGGCAACAACGCTGGGTATGCACTTCTTCCCACTTTGCACCTGGAGGATGTCCACTGCCCCCCGACACTGCATGATACATGCCAATACAGGAGTAGGTGGTCCCTGGAAGTCAGCAGATTAGTCAATAATCACAGGATCTGCTTAGTTATTGACAACCAATGAAACGGAATCTTTGTTCTGTACATCTCTTGACGTGTTCATGTGATAGATCTATTATTTAATATGATGCCACAATCACCATAATGTTCAACAATATGGTGAGGTTTTCTAATGCATTCTGTACAAAAGATGTTGATTTCATACTCATGAAAAAAAATCTTGAATATCAACAAAGGCATCCTGAATATCCATACAGACGGGAAGACGTATCCAACCCAACATAATGACACAACCTGACAAATCACTAAATCTTACCCAGATCAATCCCAACTATTTTGGGTTTTGGTGGTGGTAGGTACCTCTGAGCCCAGTAGCCTGCCAATAACACGGCTAATACCGACGTCCCTGTGTGAAAAAAATCCGAAGAAAATATGTCATTTCATGAGCTACCTTTCAACTGACAATTTGACGAAATCATTGACACTTAAAATGATAAGTCTTATCGAGAGTAAATATATGTCAGTACAACTTGGTTTTGGAATGGCCAAGACAAGTCGTCGGTCATTGGTAGCAATGTGGCATTACCTTGTCTCATCAAACATATGTCTATTTTATGTCAAACAGGTAGACCGTAGAACAGTGTGACCTCCGTTTAGCCGGTTCGATCACCCAACTCTCGTGAAGTATCAGCTGTCCCTTTCTCTGGATGATCAGTGAACTCTAACACTCAACTGCAATCTGGCTTTGTTAAACAGTCAACTCACCAAGAATAATGAAAGCAGACCCCATAATCCGATAATCAGTTTTCAAGACAGTTCACAGTTGATGTTTCCATATGTTGATGTCAACGTGGGTTTCTCTCAGCTGCTTCCGGGTACGACGCCCTCTGGTGCAATGCCAAGGTAGGTAACTCTTATATCTTGCTTCCAAGCATCAAAGTCGCGTACTTGTGGCCTTATGATTTAGCGGAGAGTCACAGTGCACCCGCCAGTCAATACATGTCCCTACAATACGACCAAAGACACCACACAGGTTATCGTGGTAATAGGCCTAGGACCAAAGACGCCCACACTGGCAAGTTAAAGAGAAAATGTGGACAGGTTGTGATTTTATGTGCGCATCCGAGGCAAGCTGGGGCATACTCCGAATGAAGTGTTCCGTAGCCAAAGAGATGAGTCTAATTTCAGCAAAAATGGCTGGTCGTGTCCAGAGTAACCACCAAAATGGAAGAGAAATGTTCTGGTACTGTACAATTACATTTTGACCCCGAGGCACGTCGAACTGTTTTCAGTTATGTTAATTGGCAGTTTATGAGCCTAGGCACTTTTAAAATACACAGGCAGCTCAGTCTCAACAGGAAAAACATATAGATCTCAAGTTCTCTGTCAAAGTAAGACACGACTTACTCAGACACATTTAAATGAAAACCACGTCACAAAATCTTACGAACTTTAAAGCAATATTATAATATATTTATATATTATTATTAATTATCATCTAGATTGTAGAAGACTGGAAAAGTTGGTTTATAACCTGTTTTCAAAAGCATTCAAATACACAAGCCCTCAGCCTCTAAAAGTATTGCAAATATAACTGTATTTCTTTTTTTGATAATGTCATGCGTCGCGAGCACACCTTCGCCTGATGTCAAAGTTACCACTGTATGTTAGATAATACAAACCGTTTTGTATGGTCACGGTTTTCTAAGTCATTTTAAAACAAAACTCGTACAGGAAACTAAAGTATAAATTACCAGACCTTCGTCGGAATTAAGGGTGTTGCTCGTGAAAATTCAGTAAAAATTGCACTTCGAAGTTGAAACATATTTTGCTACCTTTGTTATTATTTACTAAACTGATGATCAAGATTTGAAGTGAACAGATGTGATTTTAAGATAAAGCCTTAGAAAAGCGATATGATGTCTATGGACTGACTATTTGACAAGGCAACCCTGTTAACTACTCTGACGTTGAGTCTCGCGTTCTTTTAATGACAACCACCTTCTCACGGCCATATAAGAATACTAAATCTCACATTTTTTCATAAAAGTGCTTTCTAAATATGGCTATATGATGTTTTCACCTCGAATGACGACCGTTTCCGATTGCTTGGAGCTAAATCCTAAGCCCCGATACAAGGCGGACCAGCAGAAGCTTCAAACATACAATAAAAAATACCCCCAAAAACTTTTTCGGCTGGGGGGACCCCACCAGGACTTCCCCCTGGACCCCAGCTTTTAATGGTTCTCACTTCTTGGACACATTTTGGGTTGACAGCTGTGCACATGGGCCAACTAAGGCAAGACGCGAGGGAAACCTAACTACCACGATATGTGACGTATCAGAACAAGTATGGAAAGTTTTGAGCAAGTCGAGTCGATATGGTTTTGTGGATCGTTGTAATTTCTCACGTGAAATCTTCTTTGGAGCGATCTTCGTGTTTTCGAAGTGGTAAGTTTAACTTTATGCAGAAACATGTACAATGTGAATTGCCCCCTAAAAATTGCGCACAAAGTAAGTGACACCCCCTTGCATACCATATTCAAAATCAATGCCCAATCAAAATCTCTCTCACACACACATACACACTCTCTCCTCCCGCTCCCCCCCCCAAAAAAACCCAAACAAACAAAACAACAACAACAACAAAAACACACACACAAAACACACACACTCACACCAGAAATTAAAAACTGATTGGTCCGGATGTGTGGTAAACAATTTGTACACGTGAATGGCAATTGTACACGAGGTCGTACGGACCACAGGGGACTGAATTGCTGAAAATAATACGTCATAAAAGTGAACACTCGTTCACTGATAGCCATCTATATACAAATAAATATCTGTGGTACGGACTCCTATAGACAGACAGGAGCCCAGCCCATCGCAGCAAGACACGAGAACCAGTTTGTATTTATTTAGACTGTCTTTGTGAGGAGCTTTAATATTGGCCCATGGCTGCCTAAACTATCAAGAGCAAGCTGGATCCATTCGTCACCACTCGCCCCTTTCCGTAAACTCCAAGAAGCGCTATTCGGCTTGTCCCGGAATAACACGAGTTGGTCACGAATGAGCTGATTCTTGCCGCGCCTACCAAGTGTAACCAGAGGCGTGTTCAGAACCGCGAGCGCCCGCACGATTGGCTCCCGCGATCGCTCGCATCGGCCCTGAACGGACGCGAGCGCTTGGTTACAATAAACCATTCGTGACCAACTCGTGTTGTTCCGGGACAAGCCGAATAGCGCTTCTTGGAGGTTACGGAAAGGGGCGAGTGGTGACGAATGACGCACGATTGCGTTTGGCGGTTGCCTAGCTATATGGTGATACACATTTCTTCGATCAGTTGATATTTGTTTAAGGTCAGGAACTTTTTACTATTAATTTTCAATCGGTGATATAACAACAGCAAAGTACATGTTACCTTAATACAGGATATAATGGACATATTTCCCTAGATGAATAGCATTACTGCATTGACTGTAACAAGTTATAGGGGAATACAACCCGGAAGTGGAAAATGAACCTGAAACTATTGTATCCTCAGAATGTAGTACCGAAACTTAACTTAAAATAAACATATAGTTTGTAATAATCTTAAAACTTGTGTTTGGTAGAACCATATAATGTACTGCTTTACATATTGGTATTATTGTCATACGTCTATCGTCCTTTTATGATAAGTGCATTTCGGTATTGGATCACGAACATCGGTCTGTTTACGATATCGATAGCAGAACAAAGGCCAGTGTGATAACACCGCGAGATCCGGAGATATGTAACGTGGCGTCTTGTGTTGATACAACTTTGGAGGTCTACACTGTGGTTGAATTTCATTCCGAGGTTTGTCGCACAAGACAAACTTGTGTTGAGGTACGTCCAGCCATATACCAGCGATAATCTACGTCTTCTATTCTCCCTGCTTATACTGAGATACACGACACTTTCAACAGGCAAGCGACTCGTATATGTCACTCTGACCTCACAGTTCTAAAATAAATGCCACGCACCTTGTTTTTATTACATATTTAGATTAACCTAGCTATAATGTATGTAATGTATATACATATACTCGATCGCTTGCTCTATGGTGTGTGTCAGGAAGGCATGATTTAACTTGCAATTGTGTGTTTAATGTTTGTATATTTCTCTATACGACCTTAGCTAGGTCACTGTTTCCTTGTTTATTTGTCGAAACAACGAGCAGGCATCTGTACAACACGACTAACTGTACCTTTAGACTACTTGTGATGTAGCCTGTTAGTATTTACTATCGTTCACTGTAACCTAGAACGTGAATGTGCAGCGAGTATTGATACCGTCATGGAATATGATCGACAATGCAAGTGCGTGCATGTTCGCATAACGGACATGCCGACCTCAACACGTCATAGTGTTATAACAACAGGCGTTTGTTATCCCTGTACCACTGCCGCAGTGCCTGTTACTGACCCGTTTCAAGTGTCCCTTTCATGTGACTTGTGATTGTGTGAGAGCAGCGGCGTAAAACTAAACCCACTCACTCACTCAGTCGGATATATAAAGCATACAACATTATGGATAACAACTTCTTGTTTATAAAGGTTGTATTCTTTATTATTGACTCACCAATGTCTAGAATGCCAATCAGTCCATTCTGATTGGTCCATAAGCCATTGTACTTTAAATGCTCATGTTGTTGTCTGTGTGCCCAAAGACTAACGCAAAGTGACTGTACTGTGACTATTCCATAACCTACTCCCTAGCTGACTGACTGACTGAGTTTGGTTTTACGCCGCTGTTAGCAATATTCCAGCAACATCACGGCCGGGGACACCAGAAATGGGCTTCACACATTGTACCCATGTGAGGATTCGAACCCGGGTCTTCGGCGTGACGAGCCAACGCTTTAACCACTAGGCTACCCCACCGCCCCCTCCCTAGCTGAAAACAGCAAGAAATCCTTCACCCTATAGGTACACCTCAGTTCCAAAGCAGTATCCGCTGATTGTTGTTTTAAGTGTTTGATGAAATCTATGAACCTTGTGACGTAAGGTGGTATAAGCACCAGATTTTAGGCGTCTTTTTTCCCAACTCTTACATGACGGGCTGAGACCACAGGCACTCGTATCTTTGCGAGGATTACAGATTTTTAAGAGATATATATAGATAAATTTGAAATGACCCCTCAAAAAATTAATTTTTTAAATCCTTAATCCTCGCTAAAACCAGAGACCATATAATATATAATCTATTATATGGTCTCTGCTAAAACACGAGGGCCTATGGCTGAGACAACCCTGACATGAACTTCGATCCTTGATCGATCAGAAGTACTTTTGGGAACCAAACGTGGTGAAAAAATGGACCAAATTATTAATGATAACCGGGGTAGTAATTTTCCTTTCCTGTGGAAATCACCCAGTTAATGAAGATAAGACTTTTTGTGCTCTTCAAATGGTTGCCTCAAATTCAAAGGAATTTTCTGATTAGGTTTGCATATGCTGGTTTTGGTCAGGGAAAAATAAGACTCAGAATGTCGCTAATCAGGTATGGCAGTAGTCAAAGTCAAAGATGCTTATTGTACGTAAGAGCTCCGGCCCATATACAGGCAATACAAGTATACATACAGCACATGTTTCAGACATTTCATGAAATAAATTACAGCAAGAGATTGCTTCTAAGCATATCAGCATTTTTTACATAAAGCCCTAGATTACATTTTCATTTTTGGAGGAAAGAATGGAAACGAAGTCACTTGAAGGATATTTTTACAGATAATTGTTTGGCATGTATTATTTTCTTAAATCAGCATAATGTGAATTTCATCTTCTACAGCCGGGTTACATAACAGACATATTCTTCTATGAAGCACAATCGGTTGGATTTTTGAATTTTCCGGGTTAAAATTCCAAAATTCTGGGAAAATGTGATTTCAGATTTATAACACTCTTTTTCGTATTCCCCGGCATGTAATGCGGGGGGATATAGTCGACGCCTTGTCCGTCTGTCCGACCGTCCGTCCGTAACCATGTTGTTTCCGGAGCACAATTCGAAAACGGTTCAATATTTTTCAACAAAACTTTGCAGATATATCAAACAACCTAAAGTGGTGCCTTTTGCTGTTTACAGATTTTTGTCATATCTATTTTTCTTGGTTTCAATGGAAACGTTTTGGACTTTGTCTAAAAAAATGAAGTTCAACTTTAAGTAACTGTCAGATGATTTGCTCTTTCATATTTGTAGGGGCCGTGGGGATTTGTCATCTTCTGATGACTCTTGTTTAGTATGGGGAAACACTAGTCCCAGAAAGGCAGGGTTTTTCACAGACTTTTCAAAATGTGAGTCATGGTGACTCCAATATCTATTTTTGGGAGTCATTTTCAATATTTCTTTGTGTCAATCATTCTCAGTATGTAACTATGTATGTCACACCACCAAATGAAACTACAGCATTGTTCAATTCAAACAGCCAGGATTACTGTCTCCTCTGAGTTCTCTGGAATAATCTGACAGCTCTGTAAAAGTCAAACTATCATCGAACAATATCATTTTTGGCTAATCAAATCGATTTTATTGAACTGAATTGTGAGGGCCACCCATAAAACTTGCGTGAAGCTTGACTCGTATGATAATATTTTGAGAGTCATTTGCAAAATTGTTGCATCAAATACGCAGGAATCACGCCTCATGTAAAACCTGGATAGGCATAGCAATTAACAATAGATAATTGTTTGCCATTCAAAAAACATTTTTCTTTATAGGCAACAGATCCACCTCTTCTAAAGATAACTATGTTAACAGATAATTTTCCATTCATTTGTATACCGTTCCAAAATATTATAAATGGTATGATGGCTATGGTGGTTTCTTGCAAATTGTGAAAGCCCATTTTGGCCAAAAATACCCATATAAGTTTCATTGTTAAAGTACAGCATAGGTTTATAATATGCCCTATGTTCTGACATTTGCAGTTTATTCACAAAATTGAAAGTGGTTGAATGGTGTTCATAATCTAGTTGTCATGGTTGTACTGAATGTAAAGTTACATCTTGCATGTTTATTCTTTCCAAATACGCCTTTGATAATTACAACATTTTGTGATAATGAAGAAATGTGTTCCTGACTTTGAATGAAACAATTCAATTAAATCATTAGTTTCACATTTATGCTCTTTGTCAAAAGCCTTTAACATAAAATACAAAGTTTTCAGATGATATATTACTGACTTCACCTTAGAATATATATTTGATGGTCACGCTCAAATGTATCTAATAGTATTATGTGACATTTTGGCAGGAGAGTCAAGGAAAAATTTCTTCATCACAAATATCAATGTTTTGGTTAATGTAATAAATTAACATACTGTGTGTATTTATGATATGTGTGAAGGAAATATCTTAACACGGTGACTGAAAGGGAGGAAGGAGGCCAGTTTTTACACTTAAATGGTCAGGGAAAAATCTATACTTGTCAGGGAAAAGTCAGGGAATTTTGGCCTGCCATGCCTGTGGGAACCCTGAGACCGCCGCCATATAGCTGGAATATTGCTGAGTGCGGCGTAAACGTAAACTCACTCACTCACTCACTATGATCTATGACCTTTATGTATACAGCAACCAGAACGCTAATACCCTGGTTTCTGACAACACCAGCATTTAATGCCTGACGATCAAGTTGAAATTTACATTTGACTCCACTGGCGTATCTAATATTTGTGAACTGTCCTGTTAACCTGTCATTGGAGAATAAACTTTCTTTTGGCGTGAATTACCCGACTGACCTGTCCATGAAGTTATCCCAACCATTCCTCAAAGAAATACCATTCTGATAAATCATCTGCTATGGTTGATAGCCTTGTGTACTGATGTCTCTTCTTGTCATCTAAGTGTCCTTTCCCCTCACAATCTCCACCAAGTATCGTCGCCACGTTTAGCAGAGGCCTGTTACGATTTGTGGTCTTCATGTGTGACAAGCCGGGTTGAAAAAGACATCGAATGAACCTCGTGTCATTCTCATATCGGTACAGCTAGCCTTCCAGATGCTGTCCCATTCTACATTTTTTCGAACGATCAAGGGTCCGATGGGATAGCCGTGTTCGATTCCCCACATGGGTACAATGTGTGAAGCCTATTTCTGGTGTCCCCCTGCCGTGATATTGCTGGAATATTGCTAAAAGCGGCGTAAAACCAAACTTCCTCCCTCATTGGAACGATCAAGCCCGTCGTGCTTGTTTAAAATCAGGGGCAGGTAACTCTCGTCATTTCCTGCCACTGACAGTTACTACCAATAAACTGACTACAGTTAATACTATAACTTATATTACATACACATCTGTGACGTCATTGTGATACTACAATTACAGCTTAAATTCTCTAATGATAATGACAAAGTCGTAATCGAATGAGGATCCGCACCTGTCATTTATATATACATTCCATTTTGTTACAGGTGAGACACTGTAAGTAGATGTTACAACATCGTCAGAGACTTCGACACCACGACCATGGAGAATCCATCTGACACTGTCCCCCAAAGCGCTCCTATATCTGCTGACCAGGTGAGAAACAACGCAGGAGGATACGGGTGGAAGGTGGACGACATCACCCGCCTCAAGCGCTTCCTATGTCTGGGTTCAGAAGGAGGCACCTACTACACCTCACAGAAGGCCTTGACACAGCAGAATGTTGAATGTATTGTGGATCTTATCATTGAGGGAAAGGGGGTGGACGTGGTCAAAACCATCAAACAGTTCAGTCTGGAGGGACGCACCGCCAAACAGACATCCATCCTACTGGCTCTTGCTGTCTGTTGCAGAAGCAGCGATTTAACCACCAAACAAGAAGCCTACAAAGCTGTGCGTGATATCTGCCGAATTCCGACCTTCCTGTTCGAGTTTATTGAACGGTGTGAGAAGCAGGGGAAGACCACGGGGTGGGGACGGGCACACAGGAACGCCATATCAGCTTGGTACAACAGGTTCCATGATGACCCTGTCAAGCTCGCCATGCATGTCACTAAATATCGACAGAGGAACAGCTGGTCACACCGGGACGTCTTGCGACTGTCCCACACCAAACCCGTCAACGATGCTGTCGGTGTGGTTCTGAGGTACGCCGTCAAAGGACTGTCTGATGCTAAACAAATGTATGACAAACTGGAATCAGAATCCGTGAAGCAGGTCCTGAAGTTCCTTAGTGTTGTGGACGAGGCCAAATCCTGTACCGAGGAAAACAAGATGGTGGAGCTGATTCGACAACATGGACTAGTACGGGAGCACATCCCCACATCACTGCTGTCGTCGGTTTCTGTTTGGAAAGAACTACTTCAGAAAATGCCGATGACAGCGATGATAAGGAACCTTGGTAAGATGACTTCCATCGGTGTGCTAACAGACGGTAGCTCTGAGGAAGATCTGGTGGTTCAGAAAGTGACAGACCGAGACTCCCTGAAACAAGCCAGGATCCACCCGTTCAATGTGTTGGTGGCTCTGAAGACCTACACAGCAGGCTGTGGAGAGAAGGGCAAACTGACGTGGACACCAACTAAACGTATCATGAAAGCTCTGGATGATGCATTCTATCTGTCCTTCAAATTTGTGTTACAAACGAACAAACGTTATCTTCTAGCTGTGGACGTGAGTGGTTCCATGGATTGTTCTGTGATGGGTACACCGTCAGTCTCGTGCAGGGATGCTGCAGCTGCCATGATGATGGTCACGAAGCGGACTGAAGAACCAGATAATTCCACCGTCATTGCCTTCTGTGATAAGTTAACCCACCTTGAAATCGAACACACAGATGATTTGGACACAGTGACAGGCAAAATAAGTAACATGCCATTCGGGGAGACTGACTGCGCGCTGCCGATGGTGTGGGCAAAGGAAAATAAGAAGATGTTTGATGTGTTTGTTGTGTACACGGATTGTGAGACTTGGTTTGGAAAAATTCATCCGTCTGAAGCTCTTCGCCAGTACAGGAAGTGGAGTGGATTGTGGGATGCTCGTCTGATCGTCTGCGGAATGGCCAGCAATCAGTTCACAATTGCAGACCCGGATGATCCCGGGATGATGGACGTTGTGGGTTTCGATTCAGCAGCCCCAGAAGCCATGCGCTCCTTTGTCATGGGCGAAATTTAAATTCGTAGTTATCTTCAGTAAGATAAATGTCTTTTATCACGATAGATGTGCCTTACGAGATCGGATGTACTGAAAATGGAGACAAAACGTGTATTTTTGGAAGAGTGTGTGCAGGATGTTATTTGGGTTGTTGGATTTCACGTTACTTGTGTGCTGGACGATAAATTGTGGTTTGAAAGGAATTCTAGACGTCTGTGCTGTCTACAGTTCAGATGGCAACGTTCAGACAGCATGATCGTAACTGACTGTGAGGTCTTCACAGCAGACATTGCGTCGTTTTCATTGTTTTTGTATATATGTACGCGTATACCCGGGTCCATTAATTGGGACTAGGAGGTTCGGTGGGAAGTGAAAATCCAATATTCCAGCTGTAGGACAACACATCTGGCACACACACACACACACACACAGAGGAACAAACACAAACACAGAGACAAACACAGAGGCACAAAAACAGACATACAAACGGACAAGGGTGCACACACCCAGACACAAACACACACGTACAAACAAACACACACTTAGTGGACAATGAAGAACAATCCCGTAGCCTGGAACATTGTCAGAGAGTAGTGGTTAGAGCATTAAAATATGATATTTGTTGGTCCCTGGCGCTCGGCATTTATGGGTACAGCAAGTGATTTGTTTGAGTGGCATTCTAGAAGTTGGTGATATAGAGATGACAAAACCTTTATGGATGATCAACGTCTTCATAGGACTGGTCGGCTCGGAGTCAGTATGAGTGAGCTATAAAACCAGCTTAGGTCTGGTCTAGTACAAGCAGCCAAGCATGCATGCACGGCATCATATGAGCGAAATAGTCTTATGTACGACGTTACACCCCATTTCACCTCACCTCACCAATGTTGTTACTAAAGTACTGTCGGAAATGCTAGAAAAATGCTTTTTGACTTATATTTAAAATTCAGAGGTATTACAGTTACTTAAATAACAAATATCACTTCAAGAAACATCTACCTAATGTAGACCGAGGGAATAAATTTTGAGACATGCTCTAAACTATGTTTTTACTGATGTGTTACGTCATCAGCATGCACGGTATCGACAGGTGAAATTGACACCTGAGCACACGCTCGGGCGAGGGGTCATATCAATAGATGTTTTCTGCAAAATGTTGAATGTGTACGTATAGTATACGTATTGGTTATGTAAGGATCATTTGTGTATGTGTGTTTGTTTTGAAATAAACATACGAATTACTGTACATTGGAAAGAATCCTATCACTTGTGTTATCTTATCGATTGATTGTAGAAATGTGCAACGTTTTAATAAATGTTTTGCATGTCAACAGTATAGTTCATTGAAAAAATAAGGATGTAATTCGGTCAGTTTAATCTAGTTGGCCAAAGATATATTATATATATTTTTCTTTTCATAAAGTTTGTAGACCGCCCGTCTAAGCACTCCCTTGTCAAAGTTGTCAAGGATGGTTTTACGTCCCGGTTTTGCATATGAGACGGTCCCTGTCTTGTCTATTTTGTTTACAATATTGTAAACTTGTTGGTAAGACATGCCAACAGCTCTACAAGTTCTGTAATAAACCCTCTCTACACTAATGAAAGGTTTACCTCTGTCTTTTTTAAGCAGAAAAAAACTATAAACCTTTGCAACAATCGACTGCAAATCGTTGGCCATAGTGGACGCTGTGATAAAGATGTGCATGCATGACGGGAAACTTATTATTCAAGACTTAACATTTATATTAATATTTCTTCAATAAAGAAAACGATAATTAAGTAAAGTAACACAAACATTCAACATTTCTTTGTTTAAGAAAAACGTTATTTCATATTTTTACACCACCTGTATTATTAGCATAAATGTAAAGACTATTTCAGATTTCTGTTGTTAAACTCTGAATAAATTTGAAGTTGCTGTTTTGGTACCAAATTCTCTCCTGTAAACTGCCCTTTAAATGCATGGGAATGTTAAATCGATTGAAATAAAAATTAGGTAGACAATAGGCGAGTTGATATATTGACAACATAGTACATTTATCACCTTTATAAAGATATTAAGGCTAAAAAGCATTTTTCTAGCATTTCCGACAGTACTTTAGTACCCTAAAGCTTTCCACATTTTCTTTCACCGGGATCATCTGGGACACACACATAAACTTGGTGAAGAAACTTGAAGAAATAACACCAAGCAAATATCTATCACAGACTTTTTAATGAAATAATGTGCTACATGTGATATGTAAATTATGCCAGACATCGAGTCAAGTAAGATGTACAATGTATAATGTATAACGTGGATCAACGTGCTGAAAGAATGTATATTGGTACATTTATATGTTAGGATTCACTGTTTTTACTATTGACTATTGATTTATTGATATACATACATGAATAAATTTTCAATATACATCGCCAATTGATACGTTTTGCTTGTTTGATCCAGTTAACCGGACGCTATCCGGGCGATTTCCGAGTGTAACCAAAATGTCCGGATAAACGGGGTTCGACTGTACACACAAACACACAGGTATGGTGGGCAATGAAGAACTATCCCGTTGCCTGGAACATTGTTGTCAACTGTTACTAGTACCTTCAAGCTTTCCTCATTTACTTTCACCGGTATATCCTTCATGTAATGATTAAGTACCGAAATAGCGATGGCGACTGTTCTGCTTTGCAATAAAACGATATCATTAAACATTTTCAATGAACATTTAATTTAATTAAAAATGTTTTACAATTTTGAATGGCTTTCCACATTTTTTTCTTTACTGATAATGATTACATGTAAAATATTCTACAGCCATATTTCAACGTCTACCCACGTCAAATGATCAGCTGCATGTGTAATATCAGGTAACTGTGATACTCTGTGTGTGTATGTTTGTTTTTATCCCCCGCCGCGTGTTTAGCGCGAAGCGGGGGATATAGTATTAGGCTCCGTCCGTCCGTACGAATTGAAATATATTAAGATCCGTTGATTAGATTCTTTTCATATTTCGTACCTAGGTTCATCACAGTATAGGAAAGGTCCCAGACAGGTTTGGTGACCTTGACCTTCATTTCAAGGTCACAAAGGGACTTTAACGTTTTACTCTTTAACGTTCACTAGATTTTCTTCATACTCAACACCAAGCTTTATCTAGGGAAGGCGCAGGGCCCAGTCGATTTTGGTGACCTTCACTTAATTTTTAAGGTCACGGCGACACTTTGGAGATTTCAGCATGTTAAATTGCATGTTAACATAGTCAGCAAGATATCGCAAAAACCATTCACTGGATATTTTTCATATTTGACACCAAGCTTCATCTAATGAAGGCTCTGGGCCCAGTCAATTTTGGTGACCTTCACTTAATTTTCAAGGTCACTGCGACACTTCAGCATTTTAGATTTCAGCATGTTAACCTGAATTCACTGGATTTTCTTCATTGACTTTCAAGACTTCCCTTGAACATTTTTCAATAAGCAATTTCTTCAGTACTATGTTTGCATATTTCATACACTATGACATTCATGTCAAGGTCAAAGTCAGTCTTGAAAATATTTGTGTGTTTGAACAACTACAGAGCAAGATATCAAGAGAGGTTGACTGGTCATGTTTTTGTTGACATTTAACTTCATCTTAAATTACGACCTTCACTTTCATTACTTTTTAAGTTTGATTTGATAATTTGCGGCGGGGGATTATGTCACCTTAATTAGTGACAATGCTTGTTCTCTGTGCTCAAACATATTGCCCTATCCGATAACTGAGTTGTCCGCCCTTGGATGTGCGCCTAAAAGTACGAGAGCTTACGGTAAACTAGTACTTAAGATGACTGCATAGCATATTGTCTGTTGACGTATTATGGTTAAATCTGTACTTCAAGTTACACGATGTTCCCATGTTAAACTGTGGCGTGGTATACCACTCCGGCACGTGACAGGACCAGTCCACGCAGTAACACACACGCGCATGCGTGTTGCTACATAAGTACGATAATCCCGAATCTCAAAATCAGTTTCACCCCGTTACTTATAATTACGGACAGAAAGAGAGTGTATACACAAATGTAACTTGGTTTTGTGATATATATTTTGCGGGTAATGACACGAACATATCATTTGTCAGGCTAAAATAACGTCTTTTCCGAGTTCATCCTCGCATCTCATTATCGGATTGTTCCCTTGTGACTACAGAGGGACAATATTGATATACTTGGTCCATGTTCAGTCTTTGGTGGATGAAACACAATACTTTTCACAGTTCATGTGAATAGCATCGGATATGCCTTGAACATTTTTAGGAAACAGTGCGGAAACAAAATATCTCCCGCATCACATTATGAAAACTGTAAAACTGAATAATGAAAGTATTCCGTGCGATGGAGTGAGCCAACTACCTATCCTGAGAACAGCATAGAAATTATCTAGCAAGATATAATTCCAAGTTCAGGGTTCCGATCCACAAATCATTCGTAACGTTACGACCTGCCGTAACTCTACAGTTTACCACAAGTTGGTCGTAGCGCTACGAACGTTTTGTGGATCCGGACCCTGGGTAAGTGTACTGGGGGGAAATTACAGTAACTATATTCTTAAACACTTTTAACGCTTGTCAAACGCACACCAAGCAATATCCCAAACTTGTCCCTTCCACGTTCGTCACGTAACGCAACTGTTATAGTGGAACTGTTTAAACACTGAGATAAACTCCCAAATTCTTAAAAAATAATGCAACGAAAGCAACAATATCGAAGCAACTCATGACCGACCCTGAGTAAATTAACAGAGGATAATGTAGCTACAACAAATGGTTGAAAGAAGAATACTACCCAACATTACAGAACAAAAACATTTTATTTCACTTTTGTAAGGATTTACAAATGTAAGCACCTCTTTGTGGTGCGTTGGAGCTAAACACTGAACTGCATCAGGAAACACGTGGGGATGGCATTTTACAAATCATTTCATAATTAAAGAAACAAATATGAAGTGACAACGAACGTGGGCTTGTACCTAAAGCGGTTTCCCAAGTCAGTGTATAGGCACACTGGTGCTGGTGACTCCTCAGCACATGCCTATGATAGAGCTGGAATCAGACATGGACTCCGGATGGATTTGATCATGATTATGGAGATGGTTTGTCGTTGTATTCACGCTTCAATGCAATATAAAGGTTTGGTCTTCACACATTTTCTTGTAATGGATTCAAGTGTTCTGGCATGTTCTACAAGTACCACTGCTAAACATATGAAGGTTCACTCTGTAATGAGTCGACAAGTGTTCAGGCATGTTCTATAAGTACCACTGCTAAACATATGAAGGTTCACTCTGTAATGAGTCGACAACGTACACAGATTCTCCCTGAGAAGTCATATTCAGCCCAGCCTGCAATGTTTTGATAAACATAATGAATTGACAAACAACTAACGAATGCTGTTACGGTGAAGTCATATTTCGCCCATGACAAAGGAGCGCATGGCTTCTGGGGCTGCTGAATCGAAACCCACAACGTCCATCATCCCGGGATCATCCGGGTCTGCAATTGTGAACTCATTGCTGGTCATTCCGCAGACGATCAGACGAGCATCCCACAATCCACTCCACTTCCTGTACTGGCGAAGAGCTTCAGATGGGTGAATTTTTCCAAACCAAGTCTCACAATCCGTGTACACAACAAACACATCAAACATCTTCTTTTTTTCCTTAGCCCACACCATCGGCAGCGCGCAGTCAGTCCCTCCGAAATTTAAAGAATTCGTCCTTCTTTCGACTGTGTCCAAACTGTCCTTAGGTCCGATGTCAAGGGGGGTTAACTTATCACAGAAGGCAACAACGGTGGAATTATCTGGGTTTTCAGTCCGCTTCGTGACCATCATCATGGCAGCTGCAGCATCCCTGCACGAGACTGACGATGTACCCATCACAGAACAACCCATGGAACCACTCACGTCCACTGCTAGAAGATAACGCTTGTTCGTTGGTAACACAAATTTGAAGGACAGATAGAATGCATCATCCAGAGCTTTCATGATACGTTTAGTTGGTGTCCACGTCAGTTTGCCCTTCTCTCCACATCCTGCTGTGTAGGTCTTCAGAGCCACCAACACATTGAACGGGTGGATCCTGGCTTGTTTCAGGGAGTCTCGGTCTGTCACTTTCTGAACCACCAGATCTTCCTCAGAGCTACCGTCTGTTAGCACACCGATGGAAGTCATCTTACCAAGGTTCCTTATCATCGCTGTCATCGGCATTTTCTGAAGCAGTTCTTTCCAAACAGAAACCGACGACAGCAGTGATGTGGGGATGTGCTCCCGTACTAGTCCATGTTGTCGAATCAGCTCCACCATCATGTTTTCCTCGGTACAGGATTTGGCCTCGTCCACAACACTAAGGAACTTCAGGACCTGCCTCACGGCTTCAGACTCTGGTTCCAGTTTGTCATACATCTGTTTAGCATCAGACAGCCCTTTGACGGCGTACCTCAGAACCACACCGACAGCATCGTTGACGGGTTTGGTGTGGGACAGTCGCAAGACGTCCCGGTGTGACCAGCTGTTCCTCTGTCGATATTTAGTGACATGCATGGCGAGCTTGACAGGGTCATCATGGAACCTGTTGTACCAAGCTGATATGGCGTTCCTGTGTGCCCGTCCCCACCCCGTGGTCTTCCCCTGCTTCTCACACCGTTCAATAAACTCGAACAGGAAAGTCGGAATTCGGCAGATATCACGCACAGCTTTGTAGGCTTCTTGTTTGGTGGTTAAATCGCTGCTTCTGCAACAGACAGCAAGAGCCAGTAGGATGGATGTCTGTTTGGCGGTGCGTCCCTCCAGACTGAACTGTTTGATGGTTTTGACCACGTCCACCCCTTTTCCGTCACTGATCAGATTCACAATACATCCAACATTCTGCTGTGTCAAGGCCTTCTGTGAGGTGTAATAGGTGCCTCCTTCTGAACCCAGACATAGGAAGCGCTTGAGGCGGGTGAAGTCGTCCACCTTCCACCCGTATCCCCCTGCGTTGTTTCTCACCTGGTCAGCAGATATAGGAGCGCTCTGAGGGACAGTGTCAGAGGGAAACACTAACAGGTTGCTATGGAAATCCATGGCAGTGTCGGATGTTTACTCACGTCTGTAGTGGCTCACCTGTAATTAATGAACAGAATGATAATTATCAAGAATACTCAAAGAATTTCAAATTTGTACAGTTGTAAAGGGGTTGCTCATCTTTGGGGAATATAGAGACTTGAACAAAGACCTCGTACTTTGATTGGATGGATAAACATATATTGTCTGTTACACTTGAATCGAACTCACGTTATGTAGGAACTATACAGAAAGGGTAGTTTTGAAAACAGATTTTCTATATGACACATGGAAAACAAGGGTGCTGTATGAAGTTTAGTCATATTCCCGACAACGATGTGCTCAAAAAGAGAATATCGAGCTCGGCACACATACACGCACACACACGCGCGCGCATACACACAAATATGCACAATCTGACTACAACTATAACAGTGCCTCGTATTATCATTACAGTTTGATATTATGACTTCAAGAACATGTGTATTCTTCATAACAAGACACCAACATCTATGTACTAGTATAGTATGTCGTTAAGTATGTAAAACAGTAAAATACAACTAAATAAACCTAAACAGTGAAAAGATATACTTATTGTTTGCCGACATAACACCTACCTATATAGTGACCAGCTTCTCTGTATACAGCGCTGAAGATAACGAGGTTTGGCCGGACCAGATGTGTGAAAACCAGTGGTCTATGATGCTCACCTCGCTCTGAAATGTCTGAGAGGCGAGAATACTTTTATACCAACCGTTTTGATCATGTTGTGCAATCAGATGTTGACGTTCACTTAGTCAGCCGGCAATATTAGAAGGTTGCGGTTAATCGCTACACCACCAGTATTTGGAAATTTGCTGCGTTGCGCTACGTCACACGCCCATATTCAATACAAACAGAAGCGACAAAACCCTTTCCAGATCCAAATATCTGCTAAAAGCAGATTCGATTGTACAAATGTGACGAAATCATGTGTATATATTTTTTCCCCGGTTGAAATTGAAGCGAAGCCTACTCGCCATGTGAAAAATCACATATTGACTCTGCGGTTAACCGCGTCTTTTATGACGCTTCAATGAATATGGATAATCGTCATATTTTACTGTTCTGACATCAAAGATGTCAGTGGCAGTTAATTTCATAAACACCAGTAGTGTCAAATGCACAAGAAACATATTTGCCCGATATGCATCGCTGGTGAAAAAAATCTAATAACATTAAAACTCAATTATTTGAAAAATATACTCACACAACTCCGCAGCCAAATATGTACATATTTAAATAAAAAGTATTTCCAGAGCCTTATCACATAGTACTAAAAGAGAAACAAATGATTCAGTGATTACACATTTATCCCTAATCACAAATAAACAAACGACATTTACTTAAAATAAACCTAAACAGTGAAAAGATATACTTTCAAGGCCACAGTGTAAACAGTCAATTCTTGTGAACTGTCAGAACAATATTATTCGTAGAATTATATGAAGTATTTGAATAGCAATGTGGCTGTTTTGTCTTCACTTATAATATTCTGCCAAGTCAGCATATTTTGATTTCAGTCAGCTACGTCACAATATGCTAATTCATTAAATAAAGACATCAGTCAGCAATTTCACAACTGTTTATGTTGGCAGAATGGTTATTTAAGTTTCTATGTACACGATCTGACTACGTTTCCTTGTAGAGCTGTCGGTTAATCGCGACACACGCCCACCATTGTAGGGTACCTGTATATAAGGCCACACCGACAGGTGGACAACAACGTTACGGGGCTGGCTACTTTGACCACTTGCTTGGTCCGGCCAGCCTTGTTATCAGAAACCAGCTTTTCACGATCTGATCAGTGTTTCTTGTTTAGCAGCATGGCGGGAGAAAATAAAAGGTAATTATTCATGTCATATGTTATACATATTGTACTAATTGGAATTTCTATATACATACACACACTTTAGTTGTGTTACCTGGTAACATGTAGTTGTTATCGCGGGTTAAGGATATAGGGCGATCTTATAGTGTAGGGGTTTAAAGGTTATCGTATCCCTCTTATGCCCTGAAACAGCGTAAAACAATATTCACTTACTCATTCGCTGCACAATATCGACGTACAGTGAAACTTCGTTATTCCAGACACTGTTAATCCGACCAGCACTCCTGATGGACTATTAATGTTGCCAACGTGCATTCATATTGCAGAATAATGACTAATAAACTGTAATTTGGTTTCTTTGTGAAGTAAATAGACAGGATACCAGTCTGAAGTTAGATTTTGAATAATGAAGTTAATATATCTGATTCTCGCAAAGTTTCTAACAATATAATCGGTTGTTTAAAGTGTTCGAACCCGTCACTATGGTTTTTTTTAGGTAATTGTCCGTCATGATATTGGTGGATAAAAACTGAAACTGAAACCGTTGCCATGTAACACAGCGTTGTGTGTTTTGTAGTCCAGTGTAGTGAGTACCCTCTCCATCACACGGAGCTTGCTACCTGTCTGGCGCTCGGCATGATGGGATAAAACATGGAGTAGTCGTCTCGTAGTCGGTATGCTATCTATGTTAACTTACAGGTGGTAACTCTGTGGGCCAGCACGAAACAGCCGACATTAGTCGCGCCCACACACACACAGACACACACACACACACACACACACACACACACACACACACACACACACACACACACAGACACACACACACACACACACACACACACACACACACACACACACACACACACACACACACACACACACACGTGCATACACGTTGCTGAGTCAGTGCAATAATCTCGAACGCGAATTTAAACCCTTTTCTTCAACTGACCCTTCTCTTATCATCAATATATAGTCGGAATCAGACATGGACTCCGGATGGATTTGATCATGCTTATGGAGATGGTCTGTCGTTGTATTCACGCTTCAATACAATATACAATGTAATGGTTTGGTCTTCACACAATTTCTTGTAATGGAATCTCGAACGCGAATTTAAACCCTTTTCTTCAACTGACCCTTCTCTTATCATCAAATTCTCCATCTTCCAGATGCTGGCGGGACTGCTATTTCAATACTGACGAGACTCGGCTACGACTCGCGTCAAAGATTCATGACTACGTCATCTACACAACAACGACTTCGTTACTGACCCACGACAATGAACTACGACTGCGACATAAGCAAGGACCCATCTACAGCCACGACAGCCGGGGCCAAGTCATCTCAGCAATATGAAGACTGAGGTCATAGGTCACAAGTCACAGTTCAGAGGCCATACGTCACAAGTCACAGTTCAGAGGCCATAGGTCACAAGTCACGGTTGAAAACCCCCTGACATGCATGACTTTCATTTCTTCATATATTACTTCATTTTTCGGAATATAAAGGACAATACATGATTCATCATGTATATCCGAAAAAAGATCCAGTAAAGCCCAACTATATTCTAATTCATTTATTTATTCTTTCTTTGTATTTGTTTGCATGTTGTTTTCCCAGATGTACTACAATCATGTAGATGGCGAAATTCTTCATATATTACTTTTAAAAAGCATATTCATGTTACCATGATATTAAACTAATGACCTGTAGACTATAGGCATAATCTGTATCAGTGTACTAGTATTTATCATTGTATTCATGGTTCCTGCAAGTGTCTCATGCTTTGATTGTTTACAGATGCCAAGTGGCATATAACCATTCATAAACCCGAGACATATTGCTATATGGGACAATATTCTTCAATTAGTATCACACAGATGAAACAGTAACTGGTCCTGTCACAGAAGTATATGTTCTAACCGTATCGTCAATGTATTATCCCCGGATCTGATTGTGTTACTAAATGACAGAAGCTCTCGTATTAAACACTGAAATGCTTTTGGCCTGTTCCTTTGTGCTGGGCTAAGATATGATCTGTGAAAAAAATATATGTGATCTGGTCAATCTACGTATTCAGCGTCCTGGCTTCATGTAAAACCACCCATCCCCCAAACAGTGTGTTTCATGAATAAATTCTTTAATATTATTTGTTGTTTGTTCAATAACGTACAAGGACGTTCCATAAAATAGTGTGGGTTACCTCCCTTGGCCATTCAATGTCTAGTCCTCGTGAAAGTTGTTTGTGGACGCAGTGAGCAATATTTCAGCTATATGGTGGCGGTCTGTAAATAAACAAGGCTGGACTTGAGACACCAGTATCTGATACAGACTTAAGAAATTGACACATGGGGCCTGGTAGCATGCAGTTGAACGAGTCACAGAACCTGCACCTGACTCATTCAGTCACTGGGCGGTGGGGTGGCCTTGTGGTCAAGGCGTTCGCTCGTCACGTCGAAGACCCGGGTTCGATTGTCCACATGGGCACAATGTGTGAAGCCCATTTCTGGTGTCCCCCGCCGTGATATTGCAGGAATATTTCTAAAAGCGGCGTAAAACTAAACTGACTGACTTACTCACTCACTCAATAAGTCGCCTGGTACAGCCAACATCGGACTGGCCGTCAATAGTTATCTGCACCACCTGGTGGTTAAAATAAAACAAAGAATATCAGGAAACACGCCCACTTGTTATCAAAACGTACACCGTTGGTTTGATGGTGCAGCGCTGTTGAGTATAGCAGCCTGTCTTGGGACGAGCAGTTTTGACAAGGTATGCATACGCGCACGCACGCACGCACGCACGCACGCACTGGAAATTAGTACCTTAAGTGACTAGACATTGCCCATTAATGTATTAAGATTAACCGAAGTGCACACATTTTGCTTAAATCTGTACTTCAAGCAACACGATGTTCCCATGTTAAACTGTGGCATGGCATTTCACTCCGTATTACTCCACGTGATTAATTTTTCTGATGTAACTATTTTCATTTTATAGTCAAACATACCACAAAATCACGAGAAGTTACTGTAAATATTATTCTAGGTGACTAGTAGATAATAAGTAATCCAGATAGCACAGACAATAGCATTCCTAAGAGAACAAAGGCATTCCTGACGAATACAATAGCATTCCAGAGGAGCGATCCTCCAAGCTCCTCCAAGCTGCTTAAACTATTCAAGATATTACAGTCATACAATAACATTCCAGAGGCTTTAAAGGAGCGCACCTCTGGAATGCTTATTCATGTGTACTGGAATGTTATTGTATTCTATTGAATGCTTTATTGTTCCTCTGGAATGTTTGTTCACCGTGACGTCAATAGATTGAATACTTCAGGAGCTTGGAGGAGCTTAGAGGAGCGCTCCTCTGGAATGTCTATTGTTGTGCTCTGGAATGCCTTTGTTCTCTTAGGAATGCTATTGTCTGTGCTATCTGGATTACTTACTATCTACTGTTATTGTATTCTATTGAATGCTTTATTGTTCCTCTGGAATGTTTGTTCACCGTGACGTCAATAGATTGAATACTTTAGGAGCTTGGAGGAGCTTGGAGGCGCTTGGAGGAGCTTAGAGGAGCGCTCCTCTGGAATGTCTATTGTTGCTCTGGAATGCCTTTGTTCTCTTAGGAATGCTATTGTCTGTGCTATCTGGATTACTTACTATCTACTGTGACTGCATATTGCCTATTAACGTATTAAGGTTAAATGTGTTCTCCCAGCCACGTGATGTTCCCATGTTAAACTGCGTCATGGCATCTCACTCCGGCACGTGACAGGACCAGTCCACGCAGCCCCACACACGTAAGTGCAATAATCCCGAACGCAGTATCAAAATCAATTTCACCTCACCTGTTACGTGTATTTATAACACACAGGATAGTGTATGCACTAAGTCAACTCAAGGGGATAATGGTTAGCAGACATTTTATTACTCTTCCTTTCAACAGTATGTAATTATCGATTACAGTTTTGCAAGATAATCTATTGTAGTATCTTAGCAATGAATACATAAACATACTTGGGAGGGCATTCCTTTTGCTGGTTGACTTGGTTTGGGTATGGTGGCGATATGTGATAAAAAGACAAGTACTCTGTAGTCTACACGATTGCGATATATGATGAAGAAAAATAATGTATAGTTTCTATAGTGTGGAGATATGTCTTTTACTGATACAAAGTCGTTTAGGAACGGGTTTTTTTCAGATGAGCCTAGTTAATCTGTCAGGGTTGGTGGGGATTGCAATACAAGACTTAAAATTGTGGATTTTCTTTTACTTGTCTTAAGTCAAAGTGCCCGAGTAGTTATAAGAAATGTACTTTTGAACATCACATTTTATGTACACATTTCAACTTTAAACTTAAAAATTCAGAAATATATGTCTAACCTGTGTTTCGTTTCGTATGATTTTGTGATGTATATTTGCGGGTAATGACACGTGCAGATCATTTGTCAGACTAAAATAACGTCTCTTTCGACTTCGTCCCCTCTCCTCTCACATTATCGGATTGTTCCAAAGTGACTACAGACGGAGAATATTGATGTACCTGACCCATGGTCAGTCTTTGATGGATGAAATACAATACTATTCACAGTTCACGTGAATGGCATCTTTCAACACGAACCGTACGGATATACCTTGAACATTTTTTAGCAAAACAAAATGCCTCCCACATCACATTATGAAAACTGAAAAACTGAATAATGAAAGTATTCCGTGCAATGAAGTGAGCCAACTACCTATATCCTGAGAAGAAGATAGAAATTATATACAAAAAACAACAGAAATAGGTCCAAGTTCAGGGTCCTGATCCGCAAATCATTCGTAACGTTACGACCTGTTGTAGCCATACAGTACACCATAGGCTTACGAATGTCGTAGCGCTACGAACGCTTTGTGGATCCGGACCCTGGGTAACTGTACTGGGGGTAATTACAGTAAGTATATTCTTAAACACTTTTAACGCTTGTCAAACGCACGCCAAGCAATATTCCAAACTTGTCCCTACCACGTTCGTCACGTAACACAACTGTTATAGTGGAACTGTTTGACCACTTTGATAAAAACCCCAAATTCTTAAAACAATAATGCTACAAACGAACACTTCAATATCGAAGCAACTCATGACCGACTCCGAGCAAATTGAAACAGGAGAATGTAGCTACAACAAATGATTGAAAGAACACAACACAACATTACATTACAAAACTTTTATTTCATTTTTGTAAGGATTTACAAATGTTAACACTTGTTTTTTGTGATGCTTTGGATCTGAACACTGAAGTGTATCAGGAAACGCGTGGAGATGGTATTTTACAAATCAGATCGTAAATAAAGGAATACATATGAAATGACAACGAACATTGGCTTCTCGTACTTAGGGACTGTTCACAAATTTTTATATTTTTTAAAATTACATTTTATTTATTAATTTATTTTATTTTATTTTTGTATTTACTATTTATTTATTTTTATGGAGAAGCATGTGTAATGTAAATATGACAGACACACCCCAAAAATGTATGTACAAATTAACCATAATCTGTAAATATTCATATGGACAAAGAGCTGCTCCCCCTCCTACATGTGTACAAAATTCATGACCCCCTACCTCCCCAGAACCAAATGGGTGACCCCCCTTAAAATCATCATCACAACCCCTAGCCATACACTATGAACGGTCCCTTAAAGCGGTTTCCAAGTCAGTATATTCGCACACTGGTAAGCACATGCCTATGTAGAGCGGGAATCGAACATGGACTCCAGATGGATTCGATCATGATTATGGAGATGGTTTGTCGTTTGTATTCACGCTTCAATGCATTATAATGGTTTGGTCTTCACACAATTTCTTGTAATGGATTCAAGTGTTCTGGCATGTTCTACAAGTACCACTGCTAAACATATGAAGGTTCACTCTGTAATGAGTCGACAAGTGTTCTGGCATGTTCTACAAGTACCACTGCTAAACATATGAAGGTTCACTCTGTAATGAGTCGACAACGTACACAGATTCTCCCTGAGAAGTCATATTCAGCCCAGCCTGCAATGTTTTGATAAACTGTAAAACTGTATTCATAATGAATTGACAAACAACTAACGAATGCTGTTACGGAGGAGTCATATTTCGCCCATGACAAAGGAGCGCATGGCTTCTGGGGCTGCTGAATCGAAACCCACAACGTCCATCATCCCGGGATCATCCGGGTCTGCAATTGTGAACTCATTGCTGGCCATTCCGCAGACGATCAGACGAGCATCCCACAATCCACTCCACTTCCTGTACTGGCGAAGAGCTTCAGATGGGTGAATTTTTCCAAACCAAGTCTCACTATCCGTGTACACAACAAACACATCAAACAACTTCTTTTTTTCCTTAGCCCACACCATCGGCAGCGCGCAGTCAGTCCCTCCGAAATTTAAAGAATTCGTCCTTCTTTCGACTGTGTCCAAACTGTCCTTAGGTCCGATGTTAAGGGGGGTTAACTTATCACAGAAGGCAACAACGGTGGAATTATCTGGGTTTTCAGTCCGCTTCGTGACCATCATCATGGCTGCTGCAGCATCCCTGCACGAGACTGACGATGTACCCATCACAGAACAACCCATGGAACCACTCACGTCCACTGCTAGAAGATAACGCTTGTTCGTTGGTAACACAAATTTGAAGGACAGATAGAATGCATCATCCAGAGCTTTCACGATACGTTTAGTTGGTGTCCACGTCAGTTTGCCCTTCTCTCCACATCCTGCTGAGTAGGTCTTCAGAGCCACCAACACATTGAACGGGTGGATCCTGGCTTGTTTCAGGGAGTCTCGGTCTGTCACTTTCTGAACCACCAGATCTTCCTCAGAGCTACCGTCTGTTAGCGCACCGATGGAAGTCATCTTACCAAGGTTCCTTATCATCGCTGTCATCGGCATTTTCTGAAGCAGTTCTTTCCAAACAGAAACCGACGACAGCAGTGATGTGGGGATGTGCTCCCGTACTAGTCCATGTTGTCGAATCAGCTCCACCATCTTGTTTTCCTCGGTACAGGATTTGGCCTCGTCCACAACACTAAGGAACTTCAGGACCTGCTTCACGGATTCTGGTTCCAGTTTGTCATACATTTCTTTAGCATCAGACAGTCCTTTGACGGCGTACCTCAGAACCACACCGACAGCATCGTTGACGGGTTTGGTGTGGGACAGTCGCAAGACGTCCCGGTGTGACCAGCTGTTCCTCTGTCGATATTTAGTGACATGCATGGCGAGCTTGACAGGGTCATCATGGAACCTGTTGTACCAAGCTGATATGGCGTTCCTGTGTGCCCGTCCCCACCCCGTGGTCTTCCCCTGCTTCTCACACCGTTCAATAAACTCGAACAGGAAGGTCGGAATTCGGCAGATATCACGCACAGCTTTGTAGGCTTCTTGTTTGGTGGTTAAATCGCTGCTTCTGCAACAGACAGCAAGAGCCAGTAGGATGGATGTCTGTTTGGCGGTGCGTCCCTCCAGACTGAACTGTTTGATGGTCTTGACCACGTCCACCCCCTTTCCCTCACTGATAAGATCCACAATACATTGAACATTCTGTTGTGTCAGGGCCTTCTGTGAAGTGTAGTAGGTGCCTCCTTCTGAACCCAGACATAGGAAGCGCTTGAGGCGGGTGAAGTCGTCCACCTTCCACCCGTATCCCCCTGCGTTGTTTCTCACCTGGTCAGCAGATATAGGAGCGCTCTGAGGGACAGTGTCAGTGGGAAACACTAACAGGTTGCTATGGAAATCCATGGCAGTGTCGGATGTTTACTCGCGTCTGTAGTGGCTCACCTGTAATTAATGAACAGATTGATCAAGAATACTCAAAAGGTTTCAAATTTGTACAGTTGTAAAGGGGTTGCTCATCTTTGGGGAATATAGAGCCTTGAACAACAACCTCGTACTTTGATTGGATGGATAAACATATATTGTCTGTTACACTTGAATCGAACTCACCTTATGTAGGAACTATACAGAAAGGGTATTTTTGAAAAATAAAATTCTATATGACACATGGAAAACAAGGGTGCTGTATGAAGTTTAGTCATATTCCCGACAACGATGTGCTCAAAAAGAGAATATCGAGCTCGGCACACATACACGCACACACACGCGCGCTCATACACACAATTAAGCACAATCTGACTACAACTATAACAGTGCCTCGTATTATCATTACAGTTTGATATTATGACTTCAAGAACATGTGTATTCTTCATAACAAGACACCAACATCTATGTACTAGTATAGTATGTCGTTAAGTATGTAAAACAGTAAAATACAACTAAATAAACCTAAACAGTGAAAAGATATACTTATTGTTTGCCGGCACAACACCTACCTATATAGTGACCAGCTTCTCTGTATACAGCGCTGAAGATAACGAGGTTTGGCCGGACCAGATGTGTGAAAACCAGTGGTCTATGATGCTCACCTCACTCTGAAATGTCTGAGAGGCGAGAATACTTTTATACCAACCGTTTTGATCATGTTGTGCAATCAGATGTTGACGTTCACTTAGTCAGCCGGCACTATTAGAAGGTTGCGGTTAATCGCTACACCACGGCTCATCGCCAAATATAACTACTTACTACGTGTATTTTGATGGCAGATTATACTACACACTGAATACATAAAAAAAACCTCCTTCTTCGAAACAATTCATTTTATTACAGACTGATTTCTGTTTTGTTTCAACCTTTGTTGTACATATATTCAATGTAATACACAAAAATCATAATCATTCTCTATATTTTTCTACTAAATTTCTATAAAAATGAATGAGTATATCGTTTTTGTTATGTGGGTTACGTTTTGTTATCGTTTTGACTTGGTTAATAAAATGTAAATATAATTAAATTAACTGTTGATATGTTGTAGGGAAAATAGTATATCGAAGCCTACTCGCCATGTGAAAAATCACATATTGACTCTGCGGTTAACCGCGTCTTTTATGACGCTTCAATGGATATGGATAATCGTCATATTTTACTGTTCTGACATCTGCCAAGTCAGCATATTTTGATTTCAGTCAGTGACGTCACAATATGCTAATTCATTAAATAAAGACATCAGTCAGCAATTTCACAACTGTTTATGTTGGCAGAATGCTTATAGGCAAGTTTCTATGCAGACGATCTGACTACGTTTCCTTGTAGAGCTGTCGGTTAACCGCGACACGCCCAACGTTGTTGGGTACCTGTATATAAGGCGACACCGACAGGTGGACAACACCGTTACGGGGCTGGCGACTTTGACCACTTGCTTGGTCCGGCCAGCCTTGTTATCAGAAACCAGCTTGCCACGATCTGATGAGTGTTTCTTGTTTAGCAGCATGACGGGAGAAAATCAAAGGTAATTATTGTTTTGTCACTTCCTCCATGTACTTGTTCATAATTTAAAGTTTCGTTTATATAATTATTTGTTGTCGCCATGATATACATGAAGACATGATTTATGACAAAATAGTTAAGTAGCATTCCACCTGAGAATCATGCAGAAGTGGATAAGTCCAAATTTTCATATTGACTTGAAATTTTGTCATTCTCTTTATTATTTCTATGTTAGATTACGGCTCCTTTTATGTGTACATATACTTCATTATGTGCCACACCTTTGCTGTTATTCAAAATCTGGTTTCAAAGTAACAGTACTTTACTATGCAAACGAATGGAGTTCGTCGCTTTTCTACCTCCAATTAATCTTGGGGAAAAATGGGCGTATCAAAAACTAGAGCACATATTTTAGAAAAAAATTCACAGCGATGTTTAATATAGTGATGTGATCAGAAATTCTGAAATTTTTAACCAAACTTGTGATTTTCGACTTACCCAAAATTCTCGATTTTGCATGATTTTTACGTGGAGCTGTGCTTAATATTCATTATTTTTATCCTCGGTTATAAATATAGTAATACTTGTGGTATACAGAAACACTCAGTTGTATTACCTGAGTAGTTGTTATGACGGGAAAAAGAAATAAGGTAATGGGATAGTCTAAGGGTAAAATGGTTACCTGTCATTCGGATGGCCTTGAAGCAGCGTATAGCAACATTCACTCACTCACTCACACACTCGCTGCACTGAATACCAGTCTATTCATTTGTACATGGCATTTTCTTGAAGTAACTGACCATCGAGATATCGATGGATAAAAAATGAAATTGAACCGTTGCCATGTAACACAGCTATGTGTGTTTCGTACTCAGAAGCACTAACGTAGTCCAGTGTTGTGCGTTCCTTCTCCATGTGGGCGGTGGGGCAGCCTGATGGTTAAAGCGTCCGCTCGTCACGCTGACGACACGGGACCGATTCCCCACATGGGCACAATGTGTGAGGCCCATTTCTGGTGTCTCCCGTCGTGATATTGCTGGAATATTGCTAAAAGCGGCGTAAAATCATACTCACTCACCCCTTCTCCATCACACGGAGCCTGTTGTTACCCTGCATGGCGGTCGGCATGATACAACATGGAGTAGTCGTCTAGGAGTCGGTATACTATCCATGTTAACCTACAGGTGGTAACTCTGTGGGCCAGCGTACGTACATACACGTCGCTTTATAAGTGCTAGCACGTTAAGTCCGACATTACTCTGAACTTGAACATGCTCTAGTGCACACACACGTGCATACACGTGGCTATATAGATGCAATAATCTCGAACGCGAGATTCGTTTTCTACTGACCCCTTTTTTTCATTAAATTTTCCACCTTCCAGATGATGGGTTCAATTCGTGAAGTCCTTTTCTGGCGTCCCCGCCGGGATGTTACTGGAATATTGTTAAAGCAGCGTAAAACTAAACACGCTCACTTTTCCAGATGATAGCGGCTCTGCTATTTCAATACCGGCGAGACTCGGATACGACTCACGTCAAGGACTCAAGACAGCGTCAGCTGCACCCAACACCGACTTCGTCACCCACGACAATGAACTACGACTGCGACATGTATAAGCAAGGGCCCGTCTACAACCACGACAGCCAGGGCAAAGTCATCTCAGCAATAAGAAGATTGATTCACTGATCACAGTTCAAAGGCTACAGGTCACAAGTCACGGTTGAAGACTTACCAGCCTGGGTGACTTCATGTTTCGGAAGATAAAGGACAATGAATAATGCATCATTTGTAGCGGATAAACGATTTAGTAAACTGCCTTTAAGGCTAAGTTTCATTCTGTTTCATTCATTTATTTGTTTACATTTTCCCCCTGAATTGCTGCCAGCAAGTAGACAGCAAAATGCTGCATATATTAATTTCAAAAAGTATGTTGATGTTACTGGAATAATGTATGGGTACAGTGTGTGGAGCCCATTTCAGGTGTCCCCGCCGTGATGTTACTGGAATAATGCTAAAAGCGGCTTGAAACCAAACTCTCACTCACTCACTCGCTCACTGAAACTAATGTCCAGTAGACTATAGACTATAGTGAGTGAGTTTAGTTTTACGCCGCACTCAGCAATATTCCAGCTATATGGCGGCTATAGACTATAGGCATAATCTGTATGAATGTGCTAGTATATATTATTGTTTTTCATCGTTCTGAGAAGTGTTTCATGCTTGACAGTTTGCAGATGCCAAGTGGCATACAACCATTCATGTACCCTAGACATATTGCTATATGTGACATTATTCTCCACCCAGTATGACACAGATAAAACAGTAACTGGTCCTGTCACAGAAGTATATGTTCTAACCGTATCCTCAACCATATCTGATTTTGTTACTTAATGACAGAAGCCCACGTAAAATACCACAGTAACATTGAAATCTTTCTCCTTTTGCCTCGTTCTTTTGTGCAAGTAGTCCAAGTACATGATCTGTGAAATCGTGATTTTTCACAATACATTTGTCTTCTCGAATACAACGTTCTGTTGAATAAAGCTGGTAACACATGTCTTTTCATAATCTAAAATGGTTTTGCTTTCTCAAAAAGAGCCGTAATGTTTATTTCATTAGAACCACATGGAGATGTATGCATATAATAGGACTTCCGGCTATTGTGTGTACACTGAGTACACTGTACTTAGTTGTGTAGCGACAGGAGTGGTTCTATGCGGGTGAACAATTGAAGTGTACAACATACTACAAGTATCTTGGTCTACTATTTTCATCTAGGCTAAAATGGTCAGCTGCATGTAGCAATCTCGCATCACAGGCATCGACAGCATTAAGGCCAGTATACCAGCTATTTAAACGTAACCAAGCAGTGACGTTCTCTACAGCAATGACTATCTTCGACTGCAAGATTTTACCAATCCTTCTTTATGGCTCCGAGATATGGGGAACATTATACAATGAAACAATTGAAAAGGTCCATACCTCTTTCCTTAAACGATTTATATCTGTTGGGAAATTTGCATCAAACAAAGCAATATTGGGTGAAACAGGTCGCTGCAGTGTGTTTGTGTATACCAGAATGAGAGTAATCAAATACTGGTTGAAACTACTACGAATGGACTCCTCTAGATATCCAAGGCAGAGCTATCTTCTTCTCAAATCTTTAGACGATAATGGAAGACATAACTGGGTGTCAGAGGTTAGATCTCTGCTCTTTTCAACAGGTTTCGCATGGACTTGGTTATCACAACAAGTTGGTGACGAGAAGTTATTTATCAGCACTTTCAAACAAAGGTTACAGGATATCTTTATCCAGGATTGGCATTTGTCTATTTCTACCTCAAGTTATCTGTCATTATACTCTGGATTCAAAACTGATTTTAACACAGAAACATATATTACTTGTCTCCAAGACAAGTCTTTGGTACGTAGATTCTGTAAATTCAGAATAGCATTGAACAATCTGAAGGTAAATACATACAGGAAGGAGAAACAACAGTACGACTATACCATCTGCTATGAACATTGCATGGATCTCAACATCGAAGATGAAGTTCACATACTATTTTCCTGTCCAAAATATTCTGCACTTCGAATGAAATATTTACCTTTGTTAACTTCTGTTGTGCCAAACAAATGTAACTTCATCAAACTTATTTCTTCACAAAAACCACAAACAATCAAATTACTATCATTATATTTGAAGCATGTATTTAATCCACGCCGTTCTTAATTACAAGTTTTGTTTATTATATCACATCCACGTGACAAAATGTAATATTCTGCTGTAATTGTACCTTAGGTCATAAGGCCTGTAGTATTGAATAAACTAGTCTGAGTCTGAGGTGCGTGCCAATACCGTGAAGGGGGTATCGATATAGTTACGGCAGGTAACACACAGCTGACCTGTGTACGATTGTGTCGGCACTATGTGTGGTCTACAGGTTGGTGTACAAACTGATAATCCATTGAACTGTATCAAATAGTTTATCCAACTAAATATCAGGCATTTTTAATTATGTTGCATCATTATCTTGTTTTTTCTGAATAAAGTCTGTAACATTAACATTGTGTGGCTGTCAGGTGCAGGTAAACAGTGTTGTTTACATGTTGTTTACATGTTGTTTACGTGTTGTTTACGTGTTATGCTGGTAAAACTGCGTATTCAGTGTCCTGCTTTCATGTAAAACCATGAATCCCTAAACAGTATATGTCATAAATAAATTCCTGGAAATGCTAATGTTTTTGTTTAAGATTCCTTATTCTCAAACGTACAAGGAAGTGCCATAAAATAGTACCGGTTACCTCCCTTGGCCAATCTACGCAGTTCCTGTAGACCTGTATGGATGTGTCAAGCATCCTTGACTGTTGCTTATTGCTTGCACATGATAACAATTATAGTTGCAGTGACCGTATTTAGTATCATCGTTATAAAGAAAAGACACAAGTTCCGGCTGTAGTTTAACACTGAATGTTCAATATTTCGAACTGGGCATCGCCAACAGTTCCTGTTCTCAACAATACACAGTTTTGTAAAAGTTTCTTCCGGTTCGTCCAATTACAAGTCTCTTCCAACAAGGATCCATTGTTTATTTTATGACTAAGATATCACCAATTTTATATATTTTATTTTGTTTTTGGTTGGTTGTTGTTTAACGCCGCACTCAGCAATATTCCGGCTATATGGCGGCGTCTGCAAATAATCGAGTCAATAACAGACAATCCAGTGATCAACAGCATGAGCATCAATCAACGTAATTGGGATACGATGACATATCTGTCAACCAAGTCAGCGAGCCTGACACCCGATCCCGTTAGTCTCTTCTTACAAACACTGATCATGTCACTGTATATTTACAGGGAGCTATATACACACACTGACCATGACACTGTGTACATACGCGGGGCTATATACACACACTGACCATGACACTGTGTACTTACAGGGAGCTATATACACACACTGACCATGACACTGTGTACTTACACGGAGCTATATACACACACTGACCATGACACTATGTACTTACAGGGAGTTATATACACACACTGACCATGACACTATGTACTTACAGGGAGCTATATACACACACTGACCATGACACTGTGTACTTACAGGGAGTTATATACACACACTGACCATGACACTATGTACTTACAGGGAGCTATATACACACACTGACCATGACACTATGTACTTACACGGAGCTATATACACACACTGACCATGACACTGTGTACTTACACGGAGCTATATATACACACTGACCATGACACTGTGTACTTACAGGGAGCTATATACACACACTGACCATGACACTGTGTACTTACAGGGAGCTATATACACACTGACCATGACACTGTGTACTTACAGGGAGTTATATATACACACACTGACCATGACACTGTGTACTTACAGGGAGCTATATACACACTGACCATGACACTGTGTACTTACAGGGAGCTATATATACACACTGACCATGTCACTGTGTACTTACAGGGAGCTATATACACACACTGACCATGACACTATGTACTTACAGGGAGCTATATACACACACTGACCATGACACTATGTACTTACAGGGAGTTATATACACACACTGACCATGTCACTGTGTACTTACAGGGAGTTATATACACACACTGACCATGTCACTGTGTACCTACACACTGGAGGGAGCTATATACACACACTGACCATGACACTATGTCCTTACACGGAGCTATATATAAACACTGACCATGACACTGTGTGTACTTACAGGGAGTTATATATACACACTGATCATTCACGTATCACATCATCACCATGACACTATGTACCTACACGGAGCTATATACACACTGACCCTGACACTATGTACCTACACGGAGGTATATACACACACTCACCATGACACTATGTACTTAGACGGAGCTATATACACACACTCACCATGACACTATGTACCTACACGGAGCTATATACACACTGACCATGACACTATGCACTTACACGGAGCTATATACAAACACTGACCATGACACTATGTACCTACACGGAGGTATATACACACACTCACCACCATGACACTATGTACTCACCATGACACATGGAGTTAGTTATATACACACACTCACCATGACACTATGCACCTACACGGAGTTATATACACACACTCACCATGACACTATGTACCTACACGGAGTTATATACACACACTCACCATGACACTATGTACCTACACGGAGTTATATACACACACTCACCATGACACTATGTACCTACACGGAGCTATATACACACACTCACCATGACACTATGTACCTACACGGAGTTATATACACACTGACCCTGACACTATGTACCTACACGGAGCTATATACACACACTCACCATGACACTATGTACCTACACGGAGTTATATACACACACTCACCATGACACTATGTACCTACACGGAGTTATATACACACACTCACCATGACACTATGTACTTACACGGAGCTATATACACACACTCACCATGACACTATACACACCTACACGGAGCTATATATACACACACTCACCATGACACTATGCACCTACACGGAGCTATATATACACACACTCACCATGACACTATGCACCTACACGGAGCTATATACACACACTCACCATGACACTATGTACCTACACGGAGCTATATACACACACTCACCATGACACTATGTACCTACACGGAGCTATATACACACACTCACCATGACACTATGCACCTACACGGAGCTATATACACACACTCACCATGACACTATGCACCTACACGGATCTATATACACACACTCACCATGACACTATGTACC